CATGTGTGTTAATAGTGTGTGTGCATATGTGTTGGTGTGTGTGTTAATAGTGTGTGTGCATATGTGTTGGTGTGTGTGTGCATGTGTGTTGGTGGGGTGTGTGTAGTGTATGTATCTGTCCATGCATGTGTGTGTATGTTGGTGGGGTGTGTGTGTAGTGTATGTATCTGTCCATGCATGTGTGTGTATGTTGGTGGGGTGTGTTTGTGTATGTAAGTGCATGTATGTTGGTGATGTGTGTGTGTGTTGAGGTTTGTGTGTCTGTGCATGTGTGTTGTTGGTGGTAGTGTGTACACATATGTGTTGGTGGTATGTATGTGTGTGTTGATGGTGGAGTGTGTGTTGGTGGGGTGTGTATGTTGTTGGTGATTGTGTGTTGGTTGGTGGTAGTGTGTACACACATATGTGTTGGTGGTGTGTATGTGTGTGTTGGTGGTGGAGTGTGTGTTGGTGGTGATTGTGTGTTGGTGGTGGTGTGTGTGTTGGTAGCGTGTGTTGGTGGGGTGTGTGTGTATTGGTGGTGTGTGTGTGTTGGTGGTAGTGTGTGTTGGTGGTGGGGTATGTGTGTTGGTGGTGGGGTGTGTGTATTGGTGGTAGTGTGTATGTGTGTTAGTGGTGGGGTGTGTGTGTTGATGGTAGTATGTGTTGGTGGTGGAGTGTGTGTTGGTGGTGGGGTGTGTGTTGGTGGTAGGTGTGTTGGTGGTGGGGTGTGTGTTGGTGGTAGGTGTGTTGGTGGTGGGGTGTGTGTGTTGGTGGTAGTGTGTGTTGGTGGGTGTGTGTGTTAGTGGTAGTGTGTATGTGTGTTGGTGGTGGAGTGTGTGTGTTGGAGTGTGTGGGTGGTGTGTGTTGGAGGGGTGTGTGTGTGGTGGTAGTGTGTGTGTTGGTGGTAGTGTGTGTTGGTGGTAGGTGTGTTGGTGGTAGGTGTGTTGGTGGTGGGGTGTGTGTGTTGGTGGTAGTGTGTATGTGTGTTGTTGGTGTGTGTTGGAGTGTGTGTTGGTGTGTTAGAGAGGTGTGTGTTGGTGGGGTGTGTGTGTGTTGGTGGTAGTGTGTGTTGGTGGGGTGTGTGTGTTAGTGGTAGTGTGTATGTGTGTTGGTGGAGTGTATGTGTTGGAGTGTGTGGGTGGTGGTGTGTTGGAGGGGTGTGTGTGTTGGTGGAGTGTGTTGGTGGTGTGTGTGTGTTGGTGGTGGAGTGTGTTGGAGTGTGTGTGTTGGTGGTAGTGTGTGTTGGTGGTGTGTGTGTGTTGGTGGTGGAGTGTGTTGGTGGTGTGTGTGTGTTGGTGGTGGAGTGTGTTGGTGGTGTGTGTGTGTTGGTGGTGGAGTGTGTTGGTGTGTGTGTGTTGGTGGTGGAGTGTGTTGGTGTGTGTGTTGGTAGTGTGTTGGTGGTGGGGTGTGTGTGTTGGTGGTAGTGTGTGTTGGTGGTGAGGTGTGTGTGTTGGAGTGTGTGGGTGGTGTGTGTTGGAGGGGTGTGTGTTGGTGGAGTGTGTTGGTGGTGTGTGTGTGTTGGTGGTGGAGTGTGTTGGAGTGTGTGTGTTGGTGGTAGTGTGTGTTGGTGGTAGTGTGTGTTGGTGGTGTGTGTGTGTTGGTGGTGGAGTGTGTTGGTGGTGTGTGTGTGTTGGTGGTGGAGTGTGTTGGTGGTGTGTGTGTGTTGGTGGTGGAGTGTGTTGGTGTGTGTGTGTTGGTGGTGGAGTGTGTTGGTGTGTGTGTTGGTAGTGTGTTGGTGGTGGGGTGTGTGTGTTGGTGGTAGTGTGTGTTGGTGGTGAGGTGTGTGTGTTGGTTGTAGTATGTGTATTGGTGGTGGGTATGTGTATTGGTAGTGTGTTGGTGTGTGTGTGTTGGTGGTGGAGTGTGTTGGTGTGTGTGTGTTGGTGGTGGAGTGTGTTGGTGGTGTGTGTGTGTTGGTGGTGGAGTGTGTTGGTGGTGTGTGTGTTGGTGGTGGAGTGTGTTGGTGTGTGTGTTGGTAGTGTGTTGGTGGTGGGGTGTGTGTGTTGGTGGTAGTGTGTGTTGGTGGTGAGGTGTGTGTGTTGGTTGTAGTATGTGTATTGGTGGTGGGTATGTGTATTGGTGGTAGTGTGTTGGTGGTGGAGTGTGTTGGTGGTGTGTGTGTGTTGGTGGTGGAGTGTGTTGGTGTGTGTGTTGGTAGTGTGTTGGTGGTGGGGTGTGTGTGTTGGTGTAGTGTGTGTTGGTGGTGAGGTGTGTGTGTTGGTTGTAGTATGTGTATTGGTGGTGGGTATGTGTATTGGTGGTAGTGTGTTGGTGTGTGTGTGTTGGTGGTGGAGTGTGTTGGTGTGTGTGTGTTGGTGGTGGAGTGTGTTGGTGGTGTGTGTGTGTTGGTGGTGGAGTGTGTTGGTGGTGGAGTGTGTTGGTGGTGGAGTGTGTTGGTGGTGTGTGTGTGTTGGTGGTGGAGTGTGTTGGTGTGTGTTGGTAGTGTGTTGGTGGTAGTGTGTATTGGTGGTGGGTGTGTGTATTGGTGGTAGTGTGTTGGTGGTGGGGTGTGTGTGTTGATGGTAGTGTGTGTTGGTGGTAGGGTGTGTGTGTTGGTGGTGTGTGTTGGAGGGGTGTGTGTTGGGGTGTGTGTGTTGGTGGTAGTGTGTGTTAGTGGTGTGTGTGTTAGTGTATATGGGTGTGTTGGTGGAGTGTGTGTGTTGGTGGGGTGTGTGTGTTGGTGTGTGTTGGTGGTGTGTGTGTTGGTGTGGTGTGTATGTGTTGGTGTGTGTTGGTGGGGTGTGTGTGTGTTGGTGGTGGAGTGTGTGTGTTGGTGGGTGTGTGAGTGCATGTGTGTTGGTGGGGAAGGCACTTGTCTCTGTGGGGTGGGCTTCTGGACGTTTGCACTGGGGTCCCTGTAGTTAGAGTCTGAACCCTGAAGGATTCTGGGAGCTGGCCCTGAGAGCTGGGCCCAGGGCAGCCTGGGACCTCATGGGAACAGGCGAGAACAGGCTGGCACTGGCTGGGTGGGAGCCGCAGCACCTGGAATGTATAGACTGCAGTGGCCCCACCCTCCCTCACACAGGAACGGGCCCTCGTTTTGGAACCGGGGCCCAGCCCTTTGCCCAGCTGTCCCAGCTCTGCCCCACCAGGCTTCCCCAGCCCCTGCTCCCTCCTGTGGGGCACCCCCACTGCCCTCACTCCTGGCTGGGCTGGGGCCAGCAGGCTGGCTGGGGAGGGATCTTTGGGAGAAGCTGGCAGTGTTTCCTCAGGATACCGGGTCTCAGTGCCCTGTGCTTCCGGGTCTGCACAGACTGACCCTCTGTCACTTACAGCGACCTTGTCCTGAGTCAGGGAGGAACATGGCTGTACCTGGGGGGCTTCCCTGAGCCAGTGGTGGGCTCCTGGCCTGCTCTGCTCCTGGAATGGAGGCTGAGGAGCACCTGCCCGTTCTGCAGGTTTTGGGTACAGGCTGGGCGCCTCTGCAGAGCAGCTGTGTCGTCTCCTGTCCTGTGCAGTCAATCTGGGCTGCTCGTGGCTTTCAGGAACAAGGGCCAGCTCCCTCGTGTGGTACGCAGGGCCTCAGGCAGGCCCCTGACCATCTCGCCAGGCCCAGCCCCACCCCCTGCCTACTCGGCCAGCTCCCCTGGCCCGGAATCTCAAGTTTTCCTGAGGGTGCCCCCTGCCGTGGCATGTGCCCATCACCCTGCCTGGAAGGCCAGCAGCTCCTGTGTCTGCTGCTGTGCCAGACCCTCCTGGATCCCTTCCCCAGCTGTCCCACCTCCTGGGCCGGGTCAGGGACCCCACATGGGCCCTCCCACAGGGAGGCTTCCTCAGGCCTCCACCATGCCTTGTGAGGTCGGGGACTCCCCAGAATCAGGGCCTGCTGTGTGTCCTCTGCCACATCCCTAGGCCAGGCCCTCCTTTGTACGGCCAGCCGGGGAGTGAGAGGATGAGCCAGCGAGTGGGTGCAGGAAGGCCCGGGAGCTCCTCTGAGGCCCAGTCCTGGCCCCGACTTTGCTTCCTCCAGGTTGGGAGGAACATTCCTCTACCTTGGGGCTGCGGTCTCCTGGGAAGAGTCTAGAAATCTCTCTTGTTATCAGGGAGGATACAAGCCCCTCCTCTCTTCTGGTGAGGATGTAAGATGAACAGGTCAGCGTGGCAATGGCGTCTTTGTGTGAATGTGTAAGGTGTGAACACGTGAGAGGTGGTGTGTGTGAAAGTTTGCACAAGTGTGTCCATGAGTGGGTGACAGTGTGGATGTGAGCCTGTGAGTGTGAGTGTATGGGGAAGTCTGTGAGCATGTGCTGGTGTGTGTGTGCATCTGGGAGTGTCAATGTGTGTGTGAATGTGCATGTGAGCTGCGTTTGAATAGGTATGAGTGTGTGTCAGCCTGTGATCATGTGCCTGGCTGTGAATCTGGGAGCGTATGAGCTGTGTGCAAACGTGTGTGTATCAGTCTGTGCGTGTCTGAGAGTGTCAATGTGTGTGTATATGTGCATGTGAGCTATGGGTGAATGTGTGTATTAATCTGAGCATGAGCCCAGGCGCGAATCTGGGAGTGTAAATGTGCATATGAGCTGTGTGTGAACGTGCGTGTATGAGTCTGTGTGTGTCTGAGTGTCAACGTGTGTGTGAATGTGCATGTGAGCTATGTGTGAATGTGTGTATATGTCTTTGAGCATGTGTGTGTGTGAACCTGTGAGCATGGGCCTGTGTGTGAATCTGAGATTATGAGTGTGCCTGTGAGCTGTGAGTGAACGTGTGTGTATGAGTGTGTATGTATCGATCTGTGGGCATGGGCCTGTGTGTGAATCTGGGAGTGTGAGTGTGTGAGCTGCGTGTTGACATGCGAGTGATCCTGCAGGAGTGCTGACTTGGCGCTCAGGGCAGTAGAGATACTTGGGTCCAGGCTCTCCCCTTCCCCAAAGCCACAGTCAACCCCAGAGACACTCAGAGCCTTCTGCATTCTGGGGGCTCTGGGGGAGATCTGGGGGCTTGGAGGCTCACTTTGCTCCAGGAGAGTTTACCAAGCGATGAGTGTCTTTCTAGAGAGAGCTCAGAGGCCTTTCTTTTATAAAAAGTGTAATACCGAATAGATTCGAAATAATATTTACAAACTATGAGTAGGATTTAAGAATGAAGGCACCACAAACATCTGTGAATCCACTGCCCAATTTTAGACACTTTGGCTTCGAGGTACGCCTCGCGCTCTGCCCGCAGTGTAACCGCTAGCCTGGATTTGGGATTCGATTCCTGGCATTCCTTTTCAGATCTGAAGTCCTCCCCTCCAGGCCCTGGATGGGAAACTCAGTCGTGCCAGATCAGCTCAGTGCTGCCCTCTGGGGGCGAGGCCGCGGCTTCCTCCTGCTCAGCCCTAGCCTGGGTGAGATGGAGCCCACCCAGTTTACCGTGGCGAGACCCCACAGAGGGGTGGGCGCAGTCATTGTGCACACACCTGCAGGACTCGCCTGGACGCACATCCACCTGTGGGCATGCACAGGTGCCACACGGACTCTCCCCTCGTTCGTTTGTATTGTGTCCCTTGTGGATGTCACATCCCGCGTGGGAAGCCCAGAAGCCGCTGCCGCTCCTCAGGAGTTGGCAGGAGGGAGAGGTCCCCGCAGGTGGAGCGTGTCTGATCCAGGGACCCTAGGACTCGGGGCCGGCCAGGCTGGAAGGAAGTTTGTCTTTTGGGCTAATATTTAACAGGGGGACCTGAGCGGGTGGGCGTGGGGGAGGGAGAGGTGCCAAAGGCAGGGAAGGGCTTTTTTGAGATGGAGGTGGGGGTTTGGGGGAAGATACACAGCGCGGGTCAGCTTCAGAAGGGAATCTTGGGTCCAAGCGCCTGGAGGCAGAGGCATGGACACAGCCGAGCCGGGGCTTGGTGCTGCGGCGGTCAAGGGACTAGAGACGGTGGAGCTGAAGATGACGAAGAGGAGTCAGGACCCTGGGGGAGAAGGAGCGGTTTGAACAGCGCAGGTGTAGGATGGGTCTCCAGGGGCCCTCCCTTCCTCCCCCAGCCTCGCGGGCTCCTTCCGAGACTGCAGCGCAGAGGTGGGGGCTACCCAGGGTGGCCAGCAGAGGGCGCTCCTGCTACAGATTTGGGGCTCTCGGGCGGCCGGAGCGTGTCCCTGTTTAACAGGGCATGAGCCTCGGAAGGTGGCTGGGCCTGGGGTCTCCATGGGGAGCACTGGTGCCTGCCCCTTGGGAGGCACTGACCACAGGGGTGAGGAGAAGTGGCCTCATGAGGTGGGAGCCCCACAGGGTTCCATGTATCCGTTTCTCCTGCTGCCGGGTCAGGCATCTGTCTGCTCAATGCTTCCATCCTTTTGTCCCCAGGTGGGACTGTGAAATCACCCCGGGAGATGTGACTGGCCCTCCTAACCTGCCCTGGAGGTCTTCCTCCAGGCCAGGACCCTAATGCCAACCAGCCTTTCTAGAAGTTTCCTGGGTCCTAGCTCAGGGCTCTGCCCCTCCTGCCTCCCTGGTGACTCCATGCTCCTGCTTCCCTGCCTCTGGGAGGAGGACTTGCTTGTCTGGTCTCCTTCCTCACCTTGCCGCATCCAAGGAGCCTTCTCCATCGCTGCTGGTGCATCCTGCAGTTCTGAGGGCCAGATGCACCCTTGCTCTTCTGCCGTAAAGAGACATGGGCGTCCACGCAGCTGGCGGGTGAACACTGCCAGGTCCCCTGCTTGGCTTGAGGTGTGGCAGCCCCATCAACTACTGGGGGAGGCGACTGGGGAGGAGAAAGTCCCTTTGGTTGTGAATTCTGCCTTCCACCTTGTAGCATCTCTACCTGGACAGAGGAACCACATACTCGAGTCATTTACTTTTTTAAAATTAATAGTATTTTTTGAGAAAGAGGCTCGCTCTGTCCCCCAGGCTGGAGTAAAGCAGCATGATCTTGGCTCGCTGCAACCTCCACCTCCCGGGTTTAAGCTATTCTCCTGCCTCGGCCTCCTGAGTGGCTGGGATTACAGGCGTGTGCCATCACACCTGGCAAATTTTTATATTTTTAGTAGAGGCAGGGTTTCGCCCTGTTGGCCAGGCTGGTCTCAAACTCCTGACCTCAGGTGATTTGCCCTCCTCTGCCTCCCAAAGTGCTGGAGTCATTCATTTATTAATTTGTTCATTCATGTGTTCGTGCCTGCAGTTATTGGGCACTATTTACCATGGACATTTCCGGGGACAGAGAAAAGGAGGCGTGGTCCCTGCCTCACATCTAGAAGGGGAGTCAGCTATAAAAACAGGTGTGACCACGTAGGGTGAGACGTGCTTCAGAGAGAGGAACTGCTGTGTTTCTGTGAACTCTGCTTGTCCTAGCTTCCCGTCCTACTCAGTGATGTCACCCACCCACCCAGAAAACACAGAGTCATCCTGCTGATCCCCGCTCAGGCCTGGCTCCCTGTCGGCCATAGGTCCCATCCTCACCTCACATCCCTCTCCCAGGCCACCCCTTCAGCCCTGGGGCTGGCTCTGCCCTATCCAGCGTTCACACTGCCACCAAAGGGAGCTCCTTCTTCAAACTACTCAATGCCCAGAGAAGCAAAAAGAAGGAATGAATTTGGCCTGAGGGAATTGTTTGTATGGAGAAAGACCTATCAACAAAGTTGGAAAATGAAGAAGTAACTGGGAAAATGCATTTACAACACCTTGCCAAGGGCTCTTCCTACGTTCATGAAAAGCTCACATAAGCCAGGAAGGACAAGACTCCAGAAAAAAACAGGCAAAGGATAGGAAAAGCCAGTTCTTAAGAAACAGGAAGGAGAACAAGAAGCAACCACAAAATATAGGGAAGGATGTGGTCTTTGCCTGTTCTGTGCTGCTCTAATGGGACACCTGAGACTGGGTGATTTTTTTTTGAGAAGGAGTCTCACTCTGCAGCTCAGCCTGGAGTGCAGTGGTGGGATCTTGGCCCACTGCAACCTCCGCCTCCCGGATTCCAGTGATTCTCCTGCCTCAGCCTCCTGAGTAGCTGGGATTACAGGAGTGCGCTACCACCCCCAGCTAATTTTTGTATTTTTAGTATAGACGGGGTTTCACCATGTTGGCCAGGCTGGTCCCGAACTCCTTTCCTCATGATCTGCCCACCTTGGCCTCCTAAAGTGCTGGGATTACAGGCATGAGTCACCGTGCCTGCCTGAGACTGGGTGATTTAACAGAGGACAGAGATTTACTTTGAGACTGGGTAGTCCAGGGTTATGGGGCTGCGTCTGGCAAGGGCCCTCATGCTTCGTCATCCCATGGCAGTAGGTGGAAGGATAGAGAGGGGAGTAAGGAGAGAGAGAGAGAGAAAGAGAGAGAGGAGAGAGAGAGAGAGAGAGAGAGAGAGAGAGAGAGAGAGAGAGAGGGAGAGGGAGAGACTATAATCCCAGCACTTTGGAGGCTAAGGCAGGAGGGTCGGCTTGAGCCTGGCAGTTTAAGACCAGCTTGGGCAACATTGTGAGACCCTGTTTCTACAAAAAATACAATAATTAGCCAGGTAAGGTGGCACATGTGTGTAGTCCCAGCTACTCAGGAGGTTGAGATGGGAGGATCGCTTGGGGCTAGGAGATCAAGGCTGCAGTGAGCCATGAACAGTGATCCCACCATTGCATATGTGTATATATATGTATACATATATATATGTATATATATATTTTAAGACAGAGTCTCGCTCTGTGGCCCAGGCTGGAGTGCAGTGGCGTGATCTTGGCTCACTACAACCTCCACATCCTGGGTTCAAGCAATTCTCTGCGTCATCCTCCCAAGTACCTGGGATTACAGGCGCGTGTCACCATGCCTGACTAATATTTTGTATTTTTAGTAGAGACAGGGTTTCACCATCTTGACCAGGATGGTTTTGAACTACTGATTTTCTGATACGCCTGCCTTGGCCTCGCAACGTGCTGGAATTACAGATGTGAGCCATCACGCCCGGCCAAAGTAAGAGTATTTTACAGCAAACTCCATTTATCATTTCATTTTACTCTGGAAGGAAATTTGGCAATAGCGCTCGAAGTGAAAAAGGATTTACCCTTTAACCCAGTCATCCCACTGCTAAAATTTCCCCTGAAGATATATTTGCAAAAATTCACCATGCTTTATGTTCAGGGAGGCTGATGACACCATCGCTTGGAAGAGCAAAAAGCCTTGGAGACCAGAGAGGGGGTTGTCAGGGATGAAGTAAATGAATAAATTGTAGCTCATGGTCATGATGGATTAGAAAGAATGAGGTGGCTCTCCAAGGGATATTATTATCCGGGAGACTGAGGCATTGGAGATATTGATAATATCCCTTTTGTTTGATTAAAGTCTATACAAATAGACACATTGAGAAAACAGCCGTGCTCGGAGGAACAAGTCTGGACTCTTCGGCTCCCTGTCATGGTGTCTTCCTTTCAACCTTTGTCCCAGTCGTTTCTTCCACTTGTACGACCTATGAATTGGCCCAGAGATTCCCAAAATGGGTTCCCAGGAACCCTAGCTCCACCAGCTTCTCTTGAAAGTGGCTCCATGTCCGTATGAGTTTGGGAAACACTGTGTCATGGAGAGTCATGGTGTGCACTGGCTTGTTCCAGGCTCTGAGAAGTTTGCAGTGAAATAAGCAAACAAAAGCTGTCTGTTGAGGATGTGAGGCTCCCAGGCCCATGGGGCTGGAGGTCACCACACTACTTAGTTCTGATCTCAAGAGTACCCCAGGGGCCAGCTCTGTACATCAGGGATTGGACCCTCTGCTCAGCACTGCCCATTTCTGACCTGATGTGGCTTGACTCTGTCCCTTTGCTCAGCCCCAGCCACACTGGCCCTTCTTTCTGGTCCCCAAAAGGGATACCTTAGTCCAGCCTCAGGGCCCTTGGACCAGCTGTTACTCGGCCTGGGGTGTCCTTCCCTGCACATGGCTGGCTCTTCCCACAGTTCAGTTCCTGCCTAACTGTCACCTAGAAGAGGCCTTCTCTAGCCTCCCAAAGCACTCATCGTCCCCTTTGCATTTCCTTGGACAATGGATCATACACTGGTTTGTTGATTGTCCATTTCTCCTGCTAGAATGTCAGCTCCACGAGAGCAAAAATGCAGTGTGTGGTGTTTATTCCCAGAGCCTGGGACAGCGCTCAACTAACAGGAGATAAAGAAATGCGTTTCTTTGCAAGATCCATTTTCTTTTTTTTGAGAAGGAATCTCTCTCTTTTGCCTAAGCTGGAGTGCAGTGGCACAACCTCGTCTCACTATAACCTCTGCCTTCCGGGTTCAAGTGATTCTCCTGCCTCAGCCTCCCAAGTAGCTGGGATTACAGGTGAGCACCACCATGCCTGGCTAATTTTTGTATTTTTAGTAGAGATGGGGTTTCATTATGTTGGTCAGGCTGGTCTTAAACTCCTGACCTCATGATTTGCCCGCCTCAGCCTCCCAAAGTGCTGGGATTATAGACGTGAGCCACTGTGCCCAGCCCAGGATCCATTTTCCATAGCACTCCTACTGCATTCCCCTAGAAACGCTGATGCAGCCGTGGGTCTCTGGGTGTTCCCCTAATATACCAGGTGCATTTCCGACTCTACCTGGACAATTTTCCACCACGTCTTCTCAGCCTGGCAAAGTGCTGCCCTGGCTTCGAAACACAGTTGTGCTGTCCCTCCCTGAGAAACTATCCTTGGTGGCTTGGTCTGAATGGGTTGCTCCCTCCCTGGGCCTCCCAAGGTGCCTGTACACACCTACCTTTGTCACTGCGCGAGTAACATTGCGCTGCGCTGCACTGTTTTGTGTCTGTCTCACTCACGGCCTGCTCTCATTAAGGGCAGGGTTCGGCTGACTCAGTACTGAATTCTGAGCACCCAGCCCCGTCAGTGACTGCACACAATGAACACAACAATTAGGTGCTGAATGAGGTCCAATTCTGGGCTCTTACTGCCTGCATCCACTCAGCAAGCATCAATAGAACAACCACTGTGTATAAAGCACTGAGTCAGACCTTGTAGTATGTCCAAAGAGGAACAGAAAACCATCTTTTGGCTGTAAAGGATTACATTAATTATTACATTAAATAAAAGGATTAATGTTTTTTTTTTTGAGACAGAGTTTTGCTCCTGTTGCCCAGGCTGGAGTGCAATGGCGCGATCTTGGCTCACTGTAACCTCTGCCTCCTGGGTTCAAGTGATTCTCCTGCCTCAGCCTCCTGAGTAGCTGGGACTATAGGCGCTTGGCTAATTTTTGTATTTTCAGTAGAGACGGGGTTTCACCATGTTGGCCAGGCTGGTCTTGAACTCCTGATCTCAGGTGATCTGCCTACCCCTGCCTCCCAAAGTGCTGGGATTATAGGCATGAGCCACCATGCTTGGCCCTGCCTCCCAATAATTCTAACAAGAGTGTGAGAGGCTAGCACCCTGGTGCTACAATGGGCTAGGGGAGCGCATTCATTTCCCTTTACTGCTGTAGCAATTACCACAAACTTGGGGTGTAAAGCAACGCACATTCATTCTCTTATAATTCTGAAGCCAGAGGTCCAAAATGGGTCTTAGGGGGCTAAGACTGAGGTGTTAGCAGGGCTGTGTTTCTTCTGCGGGCTTCAGGGTAGACTGTTCCTTGTCTTTTCGGCTTCTGGAGGCTGCTGCACTCCTTGGCTCCAGGCCGAGCATCAGCCCGACCTCTGCTTCTCTGGTTACATCTCCATCTGGGGCCCTGACCTCCCATCTCCTTCCTGTTAAGATCCCTTGTGGCCGAATGCGGTGGCTAACACCTGTAATCCCAGCACTTTGGGAGGCTGAGGCAGATGGATCACTTGAGGTCAAGAGTTTGAGACCAGCCTGGTCTTCACAGTGAATCCCCATGTCTACTAAAAAGGCAAAAAATTAGCTGGATGTGGTAGTGGGCACCTCTAATCCCTGCTACTCGGGAGGCTGAGGCAGAAGAATCCCTTGAACCCGGGAGCCAGAAGTTGCAGTGAGCTGAGATTGAGACACTGCACTCTAGTCTGGGTGACACGAGGGAAACTCTGTCTCAAAAAAAAAAAAAAAAAAAAAAAAGATCCCTCCTGAACCATTGGCCTCACATCCACAGAGTCCTTTCTGTTCTATAAGGTGCATATTTCCAGGTTCTGGGGGTTGAGAGATGGACATATTTGGGGTTTGTTATTCTGCCTTCTGCAGGCAGGGTGGGATGACTTCTCATGGCATGGAGCCTTTGCCCAGCCAGCCTTTGAAGTCATAGAAGCTTTATTAAACCGCTAGTTACCACAAGGCCTGTGCTAGCTACTTTTACATATTGATTAATTGAATCCCATGAAGAATTTGTCACAAAAGTCTAGTCCCGGCCAGGTGCAGTGGCTCACACCTGTAATCCCAGCACTTTGGGAGGCTGAGGCTGGCAGATTGCTGGAGGTCAGGAGTTCGAGACCAGCCTGGCCAACATGGTGAAACCTTGTCACTACTAAAAATAGAAAAAATTAGCTATGCACAGTGGTGTGTACCTGCAATTGCAGCTACACTGGAGACTGAGGCAGGAGAATGGCTTGAACCTGGGAGGCGGAGGTTGGAGTGAGCTGAGACTGCACCACTGTAATCCAGCTTGGGCAACAGGAGTGAAACTCCATCTCGAAAAAAAAAAAAAAAGAAAGTCTAGTCCCCTCATTTTGCAGAGAAGCAGGATTTGAAGCTAAGGGAAATAAAATGACTTGCCTAAGACCACACTGGGGCAAGAGCTCAGATTTGACCCCAGGTTCTTGGAGCTTGGAGCTCTTTTCATGATGTCATAGAGTGTGATTGTAGCTAACACAGTGCCTGCCCCTGCAGGTTGTGAAGATTAGGAGCTCTGGTTCCTCCCCACGAAACCTTGCTGAAAAAAAGCGTGTCATCTGGAAATGCTAAATAACAAGGCTCCTAGGGCCCCTGGGTTCTGAGGCAGAGACAGCATGGATCACAGAACTGCAGGAGTGTAGTGGAGGAGCTTGGCCCTGGCTGCCTGGAGGGCAGCTCAGCTTCATGGAAGGAGGAAGCAGCATTGATGGCTGGCTGGGGCTGAGGCAGAGCACTCCCCGGAGCCCAGGCCTCTGCAAAGGAATGCTCCTGCCCTGTCCTCCTGTTTTGCTCTTGGAAAGGATAGAGGACGACCTGCTCTGGTCCTCCCCCTCTGCTGCGGTCCTCCCCCTCTGCTCCTCCCTCCCCTAGTCCTTCTCCCCTGGTCCTCCCTCCTGTAGTCCTCTTCCCCTGGTCTTCCCTCTCCTAGTCCTCCTCCTCTGCTCCTCCCTCACCTAGTCCTCCTCCCCTGGTCCTCCCTCCCCCAGTCCTCCTCCCCTGGTCCTCCCTCTCCCAGTCCTCCTCCTCTGCTCCTCTCTCTCCCAGTCCTCCTCCTCTGCTCCTCCCTCCCCTTATCCTCCTTACCTGGTCCTTTCTCCCCCATCCTCCTCACCTGGTCCTCTCTCCCCTAGTCCTCTCTCCCCAGTCCTCCCTCTCCTAGTCTTCCTCCTCTGCTCCTCCCTCCCCTAGTCCTCCTCCCTTGGTCCTCCCTCCCCTAGTCCTCCTCCCCTGGTCCTCCCTCCCCTAGTCCTTTCCCCCTTGATCGCTCTCCCTCGTCCTTCCACTGGTCCTACTCACCTAGTCCTCTCCCTGATCCTCCTCCCCTAGGCCTCCTTCTGCTGGTCCTGCCTAGCTAGTCCTCCCTTCCCTGGTCCTCCTTTCCCAGTCCTCCCTGCCTTGCTTCTCCTCCCTTGTCAGTCAGTCATGTGTGCCTGTGGTGGGCTGGGTGGTCAGCACCTGGACAAGGAGCTGAGAGACCCCCTTCACATTGGGGAGAAAGAGCCCCCATGTCAAGGGAGCCCCCAGTTTGAGGGGGGACACGGTTGTTACCTTGAGGAAGCGTCCAATTTGAGGGGAGAGACACAGAGTCTGTTTTGGGGAGACTGGCTGCATCTGCTCCTGGAGAAAGCCACTTAAGAGCATTGCAGAGCAGGTGCAAATGAGTGCCAATCAGCAGGGAGAAACTGGCCTCCCCAGGCTGGGGAGGGAGGAGCCAGCGGGCAGGTGGGTGAGGGAGGGAAGTGTGGTAGGGACATTGGGGTCTGCAGGGTGGGAAGGAGTCCGGAGCCCCCTCGGTGTCTCTGACTTCCCGTTCCCCCAGGCTCTCAAGGCTCCCACGCCAGGCTGCAAGGCAGAGTGAAGAGGGGGTGTGAGCCCCAGGCCTGCAAGGGGAACCCACGGGAGTTTCTACCTCTCACCCACCCCCATGCATCTCTCAGGCCAAGGGAGCCGTGTGGGGAAGGGAAAAGATGGAGGGAAAGGCAGAGGGACCAAGCCATCTGGTCAAGCTGGAGTCTTCAGCTGGTGAGAGGCAGTGAGGGGTCCCACAGGTGACCCCCAGACCTGGGTTTCCTGTCCACAAGTTCCTCTCCACCCATTCCCACTGTCCCCAGATTTCCCTCCCTCCATCCCTCGCTGTTTCCTGCCGCCCCACTGCCGGCCTCATCTGGGGCATCCAGTCCTCTAGGACCTCTTTTGGGAAGGACTCTGCCTGGAAGGGTGGGGTGCTTCTGGGTGTCCGTATCCTGTGTCTTTGATCCGCCGCAGGCCAAGGGTTCCTGGAAACCAGTCAGAGGCGACTGGGAGGCGCAGAGGGGAAGAAAGGCTGGGTCCACTCGCCCATAGATAGGGGAGCCCCTGGACAAGCTCTGCGTGTGCAGGGGGTGCTGGGGGATCCCCTTGCCCCTATCTCTTCAAACTGGGGCGGAGACTCAGGGCACCCAGCAATGTCCCGAATCTCCCAGGGCCCTGGGAAGGTGGAGGGCGGGGCCCTTTGCAGTCAGACACAAACCATTAGTGGGCGGATCTGGGTGGGGCTGCCTGGGGCCTCAGGATAGAGGCAGGAAACAGAATAGAGGAAGCGGGATTCCGCCTGTGGAGGCGGAGGCAGCAGGTGTGGCTGGGTGAGGGTGCGCGTCTCAGGGGATGCTGGGCCAGGGGTAGGAGATCTGTGAGCGTCCAAGTTCCTGCAGGAGACAGGGGCTCTGTATCTGAGGGCTGAAGGGAAAGGAGCCCACCAGGCCCTAGTGACAGGAGACCAGGGATGGAATGAGGGTCTCTGAGGTCTCTCCTCATCAGCCAAGCCAAGGTCTCAGCTGGCAGCCCGTTCCGGGCTCCTGGGCCTCTCACTTCCCCTGACCACCTGCCACTGACCTTTTTCCTTGGGGGGAAGGGTAAGTGGCCATGTCCCTTTCTTGGGACCTTGTCTCCACCGCAGTCACCGCCCAGGCTCCTTGATCCTAACAAGTCAGCAAGCACTTACATAGCACCTGCTGCATACAGCCTGGCCTGGTTCTGGGCAGGGCTGTGGGGTGGGCATCATCCTAAGGGTTGACAGTTAATGCTTAGGGGGTCTGTAGGAGCTGAGGCCAGCTGGGCAGACGAGGCACGACCTTGTCTTTTTGTTTTTGTTTTTATTTTTTTGAGATGGAGTCTTGCTCTGTCACCCAGGCTGGAGTGCAGTGGCTCGATCTTGGCTCACTGCAATCTCCGCCTCCGGGGTTCAAGCGATTCTCCTGCCTCAGCCTCCTGACTGGAGGTTGTAATCACCTGGGATTACAGGCACCTGCCACCATGCTGGCTGTAGAGTCGGGGTTTCATCAGGTTGGCCAGTCTGGTCTCAAATTTCTGATCTCAAGTAATCTGCCTGTCTCGGCCTCCCAGTTGGGATTATAGGTGTGAACCACCAAGCCTGGCCAGATCTTGTCAACATCAATACACCTATTGGTGTATTGATGTATCAACCTATTGGCCGGGCGATAGGTTGATGCTTGAACCCAGGAGCTTGAGACCAGCCTGGGTAATATAGTGAGACCCCATCTCTATTAAAAAAAGAAAGCATCTATTGAAGATCATCTGTTCACAAGGCCCCAGTTCATTCTACACCCTCTGCCTCCCCACAACATAATAGGGGCGATATCAGGGGACACTGTCCCTAAACCCTACCCCTGCTCAAATTCCAGGCAGGTCCGGTTTGTGCTGTGCTC